TCTACCCGAAGAGGCCATGTCTCGCACCCATACAACAACACAGCCCTTACTGTAGCCTGGTACACACGACCCTTAAGATCCAGTGAGATGCCTTTTTGACGCCACAAGTGACGCAAATTAGCAAACGTGATTCGAGCCTTTGAGATTCTTGCACTGACTTCATCAGACACACTTCCGTCAGAGCTAATACAACTACCGAGGTATGTAAAGTTTTCCAAAATCTCCAGTGGTTCTCGTTGAACTGTAAGGGATATGTTCGCAGATGGCACGTTCTGAAGCAGGACTTTGCACTTTGAAGGTGCAAGGCGCATGCCAAATGATGGTATGATGGCGGTTAGTTTATTCAACAGGGCTTGTGCTTCGCTAAGGTCTTCAAAGATGAGGGCGATGTCATCTGCGTACTCCAGATCGACAAGGCTCTCGCCAGCAACAATTTGAACACCGGAGTTTTGAAAACCGTCCAGTGTTCGCCTCATTATTTCATCGACGACGAAGTTGAACAAGAATGAGGAGAGTGGGCATCCTTGTCTGACACTACTTTTGTAGGAAAGCTTTTGGAGAGCTCACCATGCACCCTCACCGGCCCAGAGGGTGTATGGTGAGCTTTTATCCAGCTTGAATATTACCACAAATGAGTGGCTCTTTCGATCCTTACTTACTGCCAGCTCACATGGCACGCTGATAATTTACTTTACTAGATACTGTACTGTTTCGCTGATGTTGAGAGTCATCAGCAATGAACACCATGCGTACTTCGGGGTAGATCGGAATTCGTACGCTCTGGAATAAAACTTGAGAAATGTTTACTTCCAACCGTAAATGGCTGGCCATTCCCGTTTATTGCTTTTAGTATAAAAAACAGTGACAAGTGAAAACTGTTACCGTGTTTCATCCGAAGTAGTGCGGCAACATCTAGGCGAATGAGAACACAGAACTTCCAGCTTCTAACAAGTGGGTAGACCAATGCTCGCCGGTAGAAGGTGGTAAGAAGTTGTGGTAGGTTGTGGAAAACCTAAAGTTCAAAACAAAACAACAAAAGTAAGTCTAAGCGACTGAAACCATGAAAATGTGTGAGCAGGGTGCGCCATGAATGAAAACACCTACCTCAAACCAGGACAAAGTTGAAGCCAACTTGGCAATATTCCAACCTGATTCAGTCATCTCTTCAGCTTCACGAACACGATAGTCGTAGACATAGGCTAACAGCAGGTCTACCAGTCCGAGATACAACGACACTTCCTCTGATTCCTCATCCGGGGCTGGAGGAAGCTTGCGCGCCGCCAGAGCAATCAGTCGGTGGCGTTCTTCGTTTGTCAGTTCTGGTTCCATGTCCGAAGGGACACCTCGCCAAGCTGGGTGGGTCGTTTTCGCTGCAGCCCAAACTTCGGGTTCAAAAAAGTCCGCACTATGGTGGAGAGAACAGATGGGAAAGGCTTGAGATCAGTATATGTGCAACTAAACGCGTTAGTGAAAAAACAGCAAAAAAACAAAACTAAAGGGCGATTCCGGATATTTGGGAATTCGGTTTTTACGAGAGGCTCACTGAAACCCCAGCTGAATCTCTCGTTTATGATATTCTCCGGGAATTCGGTTTTTACGAGAGGCTCAACTGAAACCCAGCTGAATCTCTCGTTTATGATATTCTCCAATTGAATGCGCTAAAGAAAATCAAACTTATGTTTCAGTTGGTACGACAATCGCAGTACGTCTTCAGCAACCTTATGGGTGGTGTCATTAAATATTCCATATATTCTTCTACCATGTCAACCTTGTCTCTGGATGGAACTCAACGTTGAAGACCTACGGATGTTTATCGCGCGAAGAATCCAAGGGTAGTGGGGCTGATAGAAAACACAGGCAACGAGAACTGTGCTCTTGATTGTGCTAACCTACCGGGAGCACAGTGCTAACACACTACCAGGTTTCTCAAGCCCACACGGGAACAGCGGAGAATTCCGAAGTCCATTCGAACCAAAGACATCTCAGATGGGAAGCTTATGCCTTAATGGATGAGACTATCCGCAGAAACATATAAGCGCCATACACCGTCAAATCACCGGTTGATTATGAAAAGCTAGTGTCTACAACTGCAGGCAGAAAAAATTGGCATTCGGTTTGTGGAAGGTAAATGCCAGTCGTGGAAGTCAATAGACTATACTACTCAAAGAGTTTAGCCGAGGAAACACCAAACTAATAGCCATCTAGGAGAACCTCGGGAATAGGTAACGACAGACAACCGATGGTACTCCTGCCTCAAAACTATCGACTTGAATATGTGACTATCCTAGAATAATTCAGCGTTCTTTCTCCAGCAGGGTAACAGTGAACCAACCAACCTATCGTCTCCTGAAGTTCTGGCCCTTGGTTCTTCATATCACTGGTCGACGACGTTGTATAAATGAGAACCAACGTAAGTAGGTGGTGGGTTGCTAAACTGGATGGCCCTGGAGACAAAAGACGTTGCTGCAAAAAATCCAAGGGAGGATGATGGGACCGAATTCGTGATTCCAGATAATCTATTTTGCTTAATCGGTTCCATGAGCTTGGTGGACAAACGAAGATGAAAAATATGAACACCTGACCAAAACCATCATACCAACAACAGTAAATTATCTGTCCTCAAAAAAGAGGTTTCATTTATCCGAATGACTCACAGGTAGTGCTCCGCAGAGAACTTTTTCTTTTCCTCGGCTATACGGAGTGTGGACCGCCTCTCCGGACTAACTCTGTCTGGATCAGGTAAGTCGATCACGTAGGAGAGGTCTGACTGCAAAACAAAAGAATGCCGCATTTACTGAAAGGTTGCCACTTCCTGATTACATTTTTTTGAAATCAGACCCAAACAAAAGTGGTCATGTGTTTGACTAAAATGGCCTTTGGTAACCCTCCCCTGAAAAAGGACTATTCGCAAGTTTTACATAGTTCACCTTCAAATTGAATGAAACACTTGTCCTCAGCAAGGACTGTCACACTTCGATGCTTTTCGCTCGCTCGCATTGAAAAAAAGGAACTACGGATCAGAAATTAATTGCTCCAACGCTAATAACCTGGAAGTCACAACAAGAAGTCAGCGTTGTAAGCTGATTTTAAGAGTCCTTTTTCAGGCTTCAGGCTTTATAACACTGAAAGAAAAGCTGAGCTGTCTCCAAGTGTTCGGCATAACGATCAACGCATGAGCAGCTTTAATACTCAGTTCCAACGGAATATGTAGTCAGAAATGAAGACCAAATTTCGGAGGCAGAGCATCGAAGTAAAGAAGACAAACTCACAGTTTGATAAGACTCAAGTGGAGTAGTGAAACAATCCTTGCAATCAGGCAATCCTCATGTATGAATGTGAGAATTATTAGCGTACTATTCTGGTCATAGTCATTGCCGAGCTACTACGGGGTGGCACCTTAGGCAGCCTAGCCCGCAAGAAACCGAACCGTGAAGATCAAGCAAGGTCCCCTTCAGATCTTGAATGTACTGACCATATCTTTGTTGTGCGACAAACACCTGAACATCATTGTACGCGTAAAAGGCCCACAACCGTTGTCTCGTTAGATCGAAGAATAATATTCGACTCAGTCGATGGAGCTTTTCAGATATCTCTTTTCAAAGATGATCCAAACTATTTCATTGCGGTTTGTTATTTTTCACATTCTAGTACTGGTCTACGGAGAATAGCCTCCTTGGCAATCATTGAAATTTTGGTTTGCCACGGTTGCATTTTAACACCTTTCCTATTGGTAGCTGAATTGTCGATCGACGAAAGTCCTACTATGTCGGAATTTCTTCCGCAGAACTTTATTAAGGACTTTGTGGGGAGTCAAACTATTTAGTTGAGATTCCACCAAGATAAAAATACACTGAAGGACCTAAATACTGTCGCCGATCGGTCGATTATTTTTGCACTTCTAACCTATTGTATCATTGTAAACCAGCAAACCACAAAACCTGGCCATGGCATTAGAGCCGCAAGAAAGTGTGAAGAGAATTACACAGTGTAGTATGTAGCCGCACCACGTCGGACGGTGGCATTTCGGACGTGATGAAATCTAGCATCGCGAGAGAATGAAGACAACACTGGGGAAACTCTGTAGGACGCGTTTCAGTGAAGGGTGGTTAGTGAGATGGATGGATTTCTTCTGTATTCGAACGAACAAGTATTCGTCCTCAGCTTTCCCACCGAATGGCTGAGCACGTTGGATGGCAGGCACAAAAGTAAACTAATAGAAAAAGCCTATTTAGGGTTCGAGTGCACAGACTGAAACCAGCCAGTAACCAGCCACCCCGGTGCTGAAATCCAATATGTACTTTGCGTGTGTTCACCGCATATTGGTTGCGAGCTCGAGACGACCTAGTAAAAAGCTATTACCCATTAGGTTTGTGGTTCGAACCCAACTCTGACTTTTCGCTTACTTCCGTCCACGCTTAGAAGCACCTAAATTCTAGCGCTTCACTCAGGCTATATGGTACCTACGCATCATCATCATCATCCTCATCGACAGCATGACATCAGTGTTCAACACCGATGCTTCACTGCCGTAGGTACCTACGCACTGAAAGGATGAATAAATGAATAATTTAAGATATGGCAATGAGATACACCTAAGTGGTTGGTGGATACCGCACCAAAGAGTAAGGCGTTAAACAAATCCGGTAACTGCCAGTTAAGTTCTGAAACCCGGTGGAAAAATTTGACGGTAACGAAAACACTTCACCCACATAGGTTACGACTCGCAATTATGTAGCAATTGAACTTGTATTCTAATCCGATGTTCGCAAGCCACAAATAATCCAGTTTTACCTCCTGAAGTATCATGACTGGAGCTACTATATATTCGAAGTGTAGGACTTTACACACTGTGGAAGAGGTAAGCGGATGTATTCTAAAAAAAGAACAATATAGTTCAGATTGGGGAAGTTTTCAGGAACTAAGAATTTAGCTACAAAAAATAAGATAACTTGGATAATCTAAGCACTGGAAATACAGCTTGCAACTGCTGTACATCAGTTGAGTAAACTGCATCACTTGGTTCGTTCAAGTGCTAATAAGTTGTCGCTCAACCCACGACACGTGTTCTGCATGATGAATTGGGTGACCTATAGGGAGCGAAAACGAAATAATCAAGAATAAAGTGGTGTACGATAATAGTTGGCAAAAGCACAAACAACGCATCCAGAGCATGTGAATTTATGACATGGTCTACGTATGTGAGGAATTTGTGACGAGTCAAATGGAAAAGAATTATGTCAGTCACTTACATCGACTTGAAACAAACCAGACTTTCTGCCAGAGAAGCCATAGAAAGGAGGTGTGAGTAGTATCCCAGGAGAACAGTTTTCATCCAGGGAGTCTGCATCATACTGATCAAAAAAGAACCAACGCAGAGAGGAGAATTTTGTTGATTGTTTAGAGGCCTCGTTTTGGATTTCTTTAATAAGCGGGGGGTTTGACGGAAGTTTGAGCAATGAAGTGTGATTAAGAAGTTTTGTGATTAAACCAAGATCTTTGTAGGGTGTACGGTCAACTTTTCGAAGCTCAATAGTTATATCACCGTCATCGAATTCAATTTTGAATGTCTCCTCTTCCGTAAAAACAGGGCCGGGTAGGTTAAACCTGAATGTGGAAATGGTAAAGCAAAGCGGTGCGGCTTACTGCAGATAGTAGGGAGGAGCAGTGAAGTAAAAGATGTCATCCTCCACGCAGATTTCTAACTCACTTAACTTGGCCATCGGTGCGTGAACAATGACTTTGAGCACGGTATCTGTTTGCTCAAGTCGAAAGATAGGGGTAAGCATTTCGAATCCCAGATCAAGAACACAGGTTAGTTTGCTGAAAGTAATTAGAATATACACAGGAGGCGATTAGTGACCGGAAAGCAATAAAGTGTACAGCGTGTCACACTTTTATTGAATCGAGGTTTTCTGTAAGTCAAGACAATAAAATCAACGGTGTTTGAACTCAAAGCCTCATGTTAGGACTCAAGATAGCGGATGTATTTCTTCCCTTGAGTGAGTCACGTATGGTACGAAAGTAAATTCTTGAAGGTCTCGGCGATCCGGTTGGCATCCGACACTCTAATGAAGGTAGTATCTGCTTAGATAAGAGGCTAACTAATCAGCATCTACGAATAGCGGAAGATGGTGATTCCCAGTGCACTGGACACATGACTGACCACAGGGTTTTTCTCGAAACGTTAAAACGACACCGACGTGAATGTCATAGTGCTAACTCCATGGAAATGGCTTTCACATGATAAGACTTTCCGACCCAAAAATGAACTCGTTTTCGAAAGATACGGTACAGACAAAGAGAGCTGTTCGATGGGATTCCTTAATGTAGTGTCTGATGATCGTTATCGTTATCAACAACACCCTGCAGCGTCTCTACGAAAGCGCATGAACGAATAAGCATACAATATCCTGGAAGGCAGATCGAATCTGACAGTACACAGAATTTTCGTAACCGCTTCCACACCAAAGGTTAATCACTCTGCTGCTTCTTCTGACGTGTCGGATGGAGCCAGTGCACGAATCTCGGAGGTCAAAAGAAAGTCTATCGATTTGCGTCACTTGTGGCCTCGAAAGGCACAAGATCTCAAAGGGCACTGTGTTATCGCTCAGTGGTTAGGACTAGTATTTACTGGCTGGAAGGCCCATGGTTAGAACCAGACCTCTGCATCTCGACTTCTCCTGTCTAGGCTTGGGCAATCTGCCAGTAGCCGAGCCTTCTTGCTTCCTTCTGGTGGCATCTTTGTCAAGCGCCGAAAGCGTGCTACAGCTGAACGATTTACGTTTTATTTGTTTGTTTTTGCACAGTTGCGAGACGGTTCTCGCTGACAGATGATGAAGCGTCTCCATGCTTTTGATCACTAATGCCTCAAGAGCGTTTCTGGTGTCAGATAGCTTCAACGAATGCGTAGAGGTAATAAGAAAGCGAATATTCGATCGTACAGCAGTAACCAAGTTACGGGGAAAATTCAGCAGCACCAACGCTGGTGAATCGGCCATGTATTACGCATGGGAAATCATCGTCCACCGAGTCATGCGTCGTGTTCCATGCCTTCCCCAGAATGGCGAAAACCGCGAGGTGAACAACGTGTGGCCTCGTAGAAAGGAGTGAATAAGATTACAATGACGATCTGCAACACTCTCTTGGTTCCTAGCTGACATGTCACCTGAACGAGGCTCGAGGGCTGAGAAACTCCCAGGAAGGAGATAAAGAGGAGTTTTGTGTTACTGGTGCAGTTTGATATCCAGGAGAGTGTGTGACCTCAGTGTGTTTGGCTGGATACGAAGCAAGAGATGGCCTCTGATGTCATCGCTGACTGTACCATAAGCTTCTTTCTATACTGTCCGATTCAGCGGTTACAGCTACATATGAAGGCTAACGTCAGGTTCCATCAGCGGCCAGTCTTCTCTTCAAACTTTGGGGCTTTAAACGCAATTAAATGAGCCGTGTGGTTATACAGTAGAGATTATTCATGGATAAGGTTGTATTTTTCATCAGTAACGGTTATTAGAACGGCTAGATCCTAACGAACAGTTCTAATTTTGTAATAATTCACCGGAATTTCATCGTCCCTCTGTTGTAGCCACCTGAACCGCAGCACTCTTTCTTCCATTGGTTCGTCCGCAATATTCTTAAGAATTCTTAAGAATTTCTCAGTTAAGTACTTAGTCTAACAAATCGCGACATAATAAGTTCCATCAATCTCCTAAATCACCCAGCTAGCCCATAGAAAGTGCTGGAAACAGGGATGAGATTGGCAATAGTCTGCAGATCAAATCGGTGGTTGACTTATCCTGCCACCTGAAGTCAGAACATTTATCATTATTATCATCATCATCGACAGCATGGCATCAGTGTTCAAAACCGATGTTTTGCTGCCGTATTGAACATTCCGATTTTCGGTCAGCACTTTTATGAGTTTCAGCTATGTGCGCTCAAACTACTTTAATTGGTGTTCCGAAATCACCCGAAGTTGGTCAGCTAAAATAAACATCGCGAAAAGACATCGTCGAGGACGAAATCACCTCGGTTGGCGTTGAGAGTTCTGCAGCCGAATTGGCTACTTCAGCGAACAAACACTGCACACAAGTGAATTTGCAGTGGCGCAAGTATCAACCCGGTCAGAGTAGACCGGACACAGTAAGTCCAGGCTGATGTGGTTACGATGGCTTAACGGGTTTGGTACCCAATTGTGTCGACAATGGGCCCTGTCTGAGAATGTATATTCTGAAAATTCAAGTGTTTGTAATTGGTCTACCACTTTGAAGAGCACTGGTAAGAGTGTTATGATTCGATAGTTATCTGGACCAAACTATCCAACCCCTTGTAGATTGGCACGATGGGTGTTTGCTTTCATTGTGTACAGATAGTGGATGTAGCAAGGAACGTTCAGCTGTAGTGCCCTGTCGGAACCTAACTACTATGCCACCCGAAGGAAGCACGAGGGCTGGGATAATGGCAGGTTGCCCAAGCATAGACAGAGGAAGCCGAGGTGCAAAGGTCGGGTTCGAACCGCGGACCTTCCGGTCAGTATATGTGGGCTCTAACCATCGAGCCACCTGGCAAAACCATGCACACCAAGGATCACGCGGTTCACATCATGGAAGGCGAGTCACACCGACACCATCCAGAGATTTATTTCATACTCCTCTGCAAGGCCGAGGGTTAGCGACCTTACTTCTTCCACCATTCCAAATTGGGCAGCGAAAATGGCGATCTCTTCTGTAAACGATGGTTGAGCATGCGCAATACATTGCCTAACCAACGCAGCTTCCGTGGCTGGACACCTTCTTCGATGGAAGTCCCCGTTGCACAACCGAAACCTCACTTTCTAATTCCATCGTCGCGGATTTGCCCACAGCACCCTACACGAGTTATTGTTCTGAAACAACGCTGCTTGAAGATATGAAGATTTAGTTCCGCTGCTCCAACAGGCTAAGTCACACAGCCATGGAACAGCCATGATACACGCGTCCTCTGAGCTTCAGGGATGCACCAATTTGTCTCAAATTAGCGAACGCGACCATAGCCTTGAAGATTCATGCATTGACTTAGTCTCTCGCACCACAATTGACACAACTTCCTAGTTATGTAAAACACTCCACAACATCCAGTGCCTTTGGATTGTGGTGTGTTGAGTGACTGTATGTCCACGAGCATGACCTTACACCTTGTGGGGATGAAGTGTTTTGGTCAGTTCATCCAAAAACACCTGAACAATGTCTTCGTCCGCAGCTGTTTGAAAGTCAGGGTTCTGAAGACCATGTAGCGTTCGTTTCATTATCTCGTCGACCACGGAAGTAAATAGGAATGGAGAAATCGGATAGCCGTAGCAGACATTTTTATGCACAGCTTTTAGAGAGCTCTCCGTATACCCTCAAAGGACCCAAGGTACAGGATCGGAGGAGCGTTGAAGACGTCTATGAATAGCGGGTAAAGGTAACTCAAACTGGTTGCAGTCCAGTGGTCAGTCGTGTTATAGTGTACCGAGTAAGTACATGGTTGAGAGGGTCATGACACTGCAGAGGCGTCTACCTTTATTATTGAAAAGACTCTAAAGGCTTTTATCTGTGGGGCAGGTTAGCAGAATGCACCAAATACCCATGTTCCGAGGTAGACGGTGACATCCCCGCTCGAGCGGGGATCTTCAGCTGCCTGTCACGCTATCTGAGAGGCAATCTCAATTAGCGGCCGTGTTTTTGGGATAGCGAAGAGGGATGTAGTTTGAATTAAGACGTCGGTCAGGTAGATCGACAAGCCTGCTAGGAACGTCCGAAAAGTTGTTGTACAACCAAGAAAGGGCTGTAGATTCACAGTTCTGTTTTGCTAGCGCGGGTTATGTAACCGGTCCCTCTTGTACAGGCGTACGGGGGTTTCACGTGTGTACCGGTTGGGTTCAGGCACTTGTTCGCAGTGGAATCGCGGTACGAATCGCCACCATGTCAACTGACCAGAATCATTGTGTCAGACGAGAAGCATCGAGCTAAAGATGCTCGGTCCAGATTAACTGGCATTCTGACCAATCAGGGCACGCCTTCTTTTGGTTCGTATATGCACGTGGCATATCCATCCATTGGAGGTACCGTAAGGTTATTAGGGGTGGCTGGCCTCCGGACACAGATAACCTGGATAAACACAACCAATTAGATGGTTGCAGAAGATGCTTGTTCCCAGTCTGCCTTGAATAAATTCACTATCTGTTTTCGTTTCAACTTGCACCTCTCCCTCGATTTTCAACTATTTTTGTTCGTAGCACGTTACCTGTTTGCCAATCGTTCCAAGTTTGGGTAACGATTTTTCTCGAAACTGTAGATTGGATTTAAACTTGCACTAAAGTGGTAGTTGGCGTTCTCCTTCTCTCATAAACGCCATGGTCCTACAACTAGCCGTAACCTATTCAATTGTTAAACTGAGCCGCGCTGGAAGTCGATTCATGCACAAGCCAAACTAAAGCAAATGATTGGCTGGTCATAGTCACGTGATCCATACCGAAACATACAACCACTGCATACGAGGCCCAGCTGCTCAACAGAAATTTGCACCAGCCGCCACCCGTGGCTCGGTGGCCTAGCGGGGTAAGCTCGGGGGCGGCCCTAAGGGTTGGCGGATCAAGTCCGGGCGACGGCGCTCGGCAACTTTTCGACTTCCCCGGTTAACATGTCATTTAGTAGGATGCTACTGCTTTTGCTGAGTCATATGTAGCACTAAAAATGATTCACCAAGATGAAAGCAACTCAACGTTCCGAGTGCGAAGTTTTGACTATGGTTACATATCCATGACTATAGTCAAGTTTGAATCGAGATTTCCTAAAACACAAATGTCGAGTTCCTCCCAAGCTTTGATTGCAAGAAATGATGTGGGTAAACAGAAGAAAGTTGTGTGAATAAAGGCGGTTCGATGGATACGTTAAGGTTCGCGGATGAATTCTGTGATGTTAAGATTTTTTATTTTATAAACGTACTATGGCAAGTATTTCACGCATAGAAGCAGAGGTATCCTGCAATAAATCATTAAAATTGTTCCAGGCTATTTTCTCGCTTGCACTGACAGTCCATCTTTCCTTGGTTTATACGCTTCAACCATTTAACTTGTTTTTTCTTGGCTTGTGCACAAATGCAATTTGTACGCGCGCGCTTCCTGGCATGCGCATAACTAACCAATCAGAATGCTGGCTTTTGCATGAATCGCATGCCGCCGCGACTGGCGTTATAAACTCAGTGAGTTGAAAAACCCTCTGAACATTGGTTCCGAGCACCCCGCAGGCTATTGACACGCCGAAAGTGAGTTCGCCGAAACTATAGGGTTTTCGAAGTGCATATTTTTATGTGAAGTTAGTCTAATCAATTTGCACCTTCCCGTGACATGTTGCACGCAGCATTTTGTTTAAGTGAGCGAAATTTCAAGGTCATTGACCATCGCCGATTTGGATATTTTGCCGGTTTACGCGACATAAAACAGGAAATCGCACTTTAGCATATTTTGGCCTTCCGCGGTGTTCCTGAAGAATAAAAATAACATCTTAAGAGTATTTAATACAAATGCCACCCTATAGGATCAGTCGCAGGCGTTGGTTTGCTTTAGACACCTCAGAATTAACCAGTGGGTTATATTTGTTTGGTGAACCTGCTCACAAGACATTTTCCCCATAGATCTCGTGTTCCATAAGTGCAGTAAAGTTAGATAATAGCACAAACTTGCAGTGGCAGCGCGAGAGACGCCTGTGAGTGATCCTCTTTCCCAGATATGCATAGCTAGCTTGTAGATAATATAGTGCTGCCAGAATGCTGTGGGCGTCTTTCCTATTATAACTATGACGTTCTACAGATGGTGAGCACCAATCATGAAGCGGTCACCAAGATGACGGCAGCCTCCTCGACTACCTATTGTAGCTGCGGAATCCGTGTCTATGTGCGACGCTAATTAGGGTTCCCCACATATGCGCGGCAGCCTAATCCAATGAGCAACGACGGCCCCTTCTACTCGTATCTCTACTAGTTTTCACTCATCTCGACTACCTGTTGTAACTGCTAGGCCCGTGTTTATGTGCAATGTTGATAATGAGACTGCACCTATGCACAGTAACATAATCCGATGGTCAGTGGCGGTCTTTTATACCCCTAACTATACACGATGCCGCTTGTCCTGGCTAGCTTCAGTAAACTTCAGTGCAATATATGTGCCGTCCGGTACTATAAGGCCTCAGCCATGCGTGATAGCCACATCTGACAGCCTTTTATACTCACAAATGTACTCGAAGTCATCTAACTTGGCTATTGATCGTACCTGTTGAGTCATTGTCATTGTGCATGCGTACTTAATCTAATGGCGAACGATTGACCCAATACTGAAAACTGCACGCGATATTGCCTACCTTGACTACTTAGTAAAACTGCTAGGCCAGTGCCTATATGCGCCGCTGTTTAGTAGGCCTCAGCTATGAGAAGTGTCCTGATTTAACTGCCAACGATGGCCCGTCATACACATAAATGTGCGCGCTTCGCTTGTCTGCTACTTATATCATCATGGACAGCATGAAATCAGTGTTAAACATCGATCTTCACTTCCGTACCTTCCTGCCACCTACAGTAAACACCAAGCCAGTATCTATGCGGGCCNGCCGAATTTCCGATGACGGAGCACCGTATTTTAACAGGGTAGAACACTCCTTTAATTCATCATTTGTCAGTCGCCGGTTGATGGGGAGCCTGTCAAAAATAAACTTGCTGCATGGATGGTTGTGCTCCAGGTAGTAAGAAATAACCCTCAAGCAGTCATGGTACCGGCGAACGTGGACCCTTGCCGGACAATCACTACGACATGTGCTACAACGTATACACAGTCAACCATTAACTTACCAGGTGCGACGAATTCCACGGCTTCTGCTTCGTCTGCAGGGATGTCTGCTGCAACGGTAGGAGGCTTTTTCATACAAAGGTAGCGAATTGCTGCTCTTTATGGAGTCTATACAGACGAAAACAACGAAATGTTTCGTCTGGTGCTCTTTCAAAGCAACTTGAAATGCACTGAATGAGAAAAAACTTGGGCGAGCTAAATTCTCCACAAAATCATCCTCCGCATTCACATGCTCAGCCATAGCAGCCATTTAAAATATGAATATCCCGGGTCGTGAATATCGTGTGGATTGAGTAGATTTAAACAAATTTCAACAAAACTGCGGCCGCTTGGGAAGATCTCATACGCCCGAAAAATTACCATCAAATGTTAAAACTTTATGTTAAAATTTTCCTCCTTCGAACCACAGTTTCAGAGAAATTTTCGGCGTACGTCAAGCCCACGGCTTCCGCGCACAGCACAAAATTAGTGTCCGCAAATTCTTTCGGGTTTACGCGTCAGACAGATCCAAGCAGCACAAACGCTATCCTTGACCGTGTTGCTAGAGCTATACTACCCATAATGAAGATTTTTGAATCGGAGATCAAGCCCGACGGCTTCCGCGCACAGCACAAAATTAGTGTCCGCAAATTCTTTCGGGTTTACGCTTCAGTCAGATCCAAGCAGCACAAACGCTATCCTTGACCGTGTTGCTAGAGCTATACTACCCATAATGAAGATTTTTGAATCGGAGTCCGATCAAGCCCGATCATGCTTCAGTCGCCATGCTCCCTACAAGCTGGGAAATAAACCTAATATTATTGCTGAAAGGCGTTCCGAAGAGCGATTCAAAGCCCAGCCACGAGCGGTGAATGTTCCGTCTAACTCCATCCTTCCGTTCCGTGATAACAATCAGAACATTTGGCTCTGGGTAATCTCCTCGAGGATCTCGGCACCTCAGTTTGTGGCAAAGTTCCCACCAGATGCTCAGCTTAGTCCAGGCAAGAAAAACGTAAAGGCGGATGCTCTTTCAGGGTGCCAGTCACTGCTTCGATCAAAACTAATCTTCAAGTTACGGTCGCGGGTCAGCCACAGAAACCAAGGTTTCCCATCTCTCGCACTCCGAATATTAGACNGTTACGGCCGGGGTTCAGCCCCAGAACCCAAGGTTCCCCATCTCTCGCCCTCCGAATATTAGACCAGCCATTGCAAAATTCTGGCGAAACAGCTAGACGCCCCCTGCATCTCGACTTCTCCCGTCAAGGCCAGAGCAACTTGGCAGTATCCCAGCCCGTGTGCCTCATTTTAGTGGTATGGTAGTTCTAGTTCTATAGCTGAACGGTTTTTTGCGTACCCCCACCAGACTCCAAAGGGGACAGCTCTCTCATGCCCTCCAGGTACCACCCACCTAGATATCCAACCCGTCGCTAGGCCATGTATGCAGAGACACTTGGGTGGTCGCGTCTCCTTCCAGTTTGCTTTACTAGGATTCAACACATTGTTTTCTCCTGTTGGTCCTTTTCCATATATGGCATCCCATTTGGCTCACATCCACGTTGATCTTGTAGGTTATCTGCCAACATTTGAAGACAGTTCACTCATGGAGGATAATCTGCAGGCGTACACGATGGTCTGAAACCGTCCTCACACCAAATAACCCGGACCGTTACCGAGACTATTGACCAAATCCTTTTTGAACGTATGGTTTGCGTGCGATTGCCTAACCACCGACTGATGTGGGTAGTGCGAGAGCACCAATGTCTCGGGGACTATCAGTAAGTTAAACAGATATCGCACCCGAACCGCTGTAATGGAGCACCATCTTATTTGGCGATGATAATCTACCATCATCAGTCAAACGGCATGCCTCAAATGTTTCATCGCCAACTTAAAGCCTCAATCAGCGGCGTTGGCGCTACACATCGGAATGATATCGCCCTTATGGTACATGTGCCGCAAACAAAGAAGGCATACAGGTCTCTACCCTTAAAATACACTATCGCTAGTTGACACCATGTCTGAGAACTATGTGTCCTTGCTTTTCCACACTTCATGCCACTAGATTGAGCCGTCTATGCCACACCGGCACACACCAACCCGTAGCATTTACTAAGCTCTGGGTGCCTGCGTCCACGTTCCACACCTGGGCTGAACTAGGAAACCAGTGGAACATTCACATAGGTGTTTTCTCAAAGCAACCACACGTACGGAGGAATTCCCGATCACAGATCTTTGTGAGTTATGTGAGTAAGTCAAGCCCACCATGAAGGTCCAACTACCTCAGCTTCGAACTAAGTGTTACCCCCCATTTCAAATTTGGTTCTAGACAAACTCCTTCCAACTACAGGGTGGCGCACACCTCCCTTCTAATATGAATCCTTTCACGCCCGGTCAAAAGTTCGTAAGCCAAGTTCCTCCTGGTTAATAATGCCATAGATGAACGGCAGTGTGGATTCCTGACTCAAAGATCTGTTAACTGCCGCCAGTTCCAATTCTTTGAGACCACCACAGCAGCCCACGACGCGGGATAATTGATTGAAACAGTCCGGACGGACATTCAAAAAGCCTTTGATCAGGTCCCCCATGCATCTCAGCTACACAAGCTTAGCACCGTCGGCATCACTGGAACCTTGGTTCAGTGGTTCATCTCTTACTTATCAGAGAGGACGTAAATAATGCAAACCGGGGACACAATCGTCTCCACAATCGATCACCATTGAAATCATCCAAGGAAGCGTGCTAGGCCCCATCATGTTCTCACTGTACATCAATGGCGTCTTTAGCGCTATGTCCCACGGTAAGGTTTTCCTCTTCGCGGACTATATAAAAATCGCATACACATTCCCCGCCCTGCACAGGCCCTTACCTTTCACCAAATTAGGCAAGACATTTTCACTGACTCGCTGGTCAAAGGACAATGGCCTAAGCTTCTCCTCCACAAAATCTTGTATGACTTCCTGCCGCTGCTCTCTACCGGTTGACGTTTTCACGTTTAATGGAAATCCTATCACCCATTCCACGGAGCTAAAAGATCTCGGACTCAGATACTCCCGTACGTTTAGCATTCCACACTAGGCGCAATTTCAGGTTTCCAGAGCATACAGGCTCAGTTTTTTAATACTGCGTACCTGTAACCTCTGAGATAAAATGGTTGCAATTTTTAAGCAATGCGTAAGACCAATCGTGGAATACTGTCCCGCACTCTCCTCTCTTAACACTTAAAGTTGCAAACTCGCAGTTGAAAGTATCGGACGCTCATTCACGAAGATCCAGTTTCCTTGGTTCAACCCACTCTCCCGCCGCTCCCGCTGTCAAGTCCTAGGCCCCGAACCACTACGGTTCAGACGGTTAAAGATGAAACTAATTCTCTCACACCGTCTGCTGCACAAAACGCCTTTATAGAAGAAACTAGAACAAATATAAACTCGCAACCTCACTACAGACTCCGTAAATCCTGCGACCACCTAGTTTGTCTCCAGTCCGTACAAACCTACGCCACTACTTCCTTCTAGTTTATTACGCTCGCGTCTGAAACAGGCTTTTCGAGCAGCTGCGAATCATCACGCATCGCCACACTTCGTTTCAGTCCGTCGACAAATTCCTTATTCGTGAAACTGCTGTCGCCCTACTCAATACCAAACTACCCCATGACCTCCTCAAAGAATCAAGGCCAGTGCGCATGTGAGTTTTGCGACGATACCGTTAGTATGCAAGTAAAGGATCCAGTTATCATTGCTTCCGCCGCCAGTTCCAATTCTTTGAGACCACCACAGCAGCCCACGACGCGGGATAATTGATGGAAACAGTCAACCCGGACATTCAAAAAGCCTTTGATCAGGTCCCCCATGCATCTCAGCTACACAAGCTTAGCACCGTCGGCATCACTGGAACCTTGGTTCAGTGGTTCATCTCTTACTTATCAGAGAGGACGTAAATAATGCAAACCGGGGACACAATCGTCTCCACAATCGATCACCATTGAAATCATCCAAGGAAGCGTGCTAGGCCCCATCATGTTCTCACTGTACATCAATGGCGTCTTTAGCGCTATGTCCACGGTAAGGTTTTCCTCTTCGGGGACTATATAAAAATCGCATACACATTCCCCGCCCTGCACAGGCCCTTACCTTTCACCAAATTAGGCAAGACATTTTCACTGACTCGCTGGTCAAAGGACAATGGCCTAAGCTTCTCCTCCACAAAATCTTGTATGACTTCCTGCCGCTGCTCTCTACCGGTTGACGTTTTCACGTTTAATGGAAATCCTATCACCCATTCCACGGAGCTAAAAGATCTCGGACTCAGATACTCCCGTACGTTTAGCATTCCACACTAGGCGCAATTTCAGGTTTCCAGAGCATACAGGCTCAGTTTTTTAATACTGCGTACCTGTAACCTCTGAGATAAAATGGTTGCAATTTTTAAGCAATGCGTAAGACCAATCGTGGAATACTGTCCCGCACTCTCCTCTCTTAACACTTAAAGTTGCAAACTCGCAGTTGAAAGTATCGGACGCTCATTCACGAAGATCCAGTTTCCTTGGTTCAACCCACTCTCCCGCCGCTCCCGCTGTCAAGTCCTAGGCCCCGAACCACTACGGTTCAGACGGTTAAAGATGAAACTAATTCTCTCACACCGTCTGCTGCACAAAACGCCTTTATAGAAGAAACTAGAACAAATATAAACTCGCAACCTCACTACAGACTCCGTAAATCCTGCGACCACCTAGTTTGTCTCCAGTCCGTACAAACCTACGCCACTACTTCCTTCTAGTTTATTACGCTCGCGTCTGAAACAGGCTTTTCGAGCAGCTGCGAATCATCACGCATCGCCACACTTCGTTTCAGTCCGTCGACAAATTCCTTATTCGTGAAACTGCTGTCGCCCTACTCAATACCAAACTACCCCATGACCTCCTCAAAGAATCAAGGCCAGTGCGCATGTGAGTTTTGCGACGATACCGTTAGTATGCAAGTAAAGGATCCAGTTATCATTGCTTCCTCTTGACTCGCTTTAAGCCAATGTGACTTAATTGCCTACTTGGTCCAAATATGCTGTCACTGGCCTGGTTGTTTTTCTTTTTTTCCTCAGCCAACTTACACCTCGTTCCAGTCTAGTCCCTACTACGGATTACTCTACCAGCTCTAGCCTTAGTCTACTAACCAATACCAAACCAAATTCAGTTTTTTCCTGACTACCGGAGCTCAATCTGCACCGATATTATCCGCTTAATGGTTTACCCCACTAAACACTCTCACGCAGAACATCGCG